TTAATGTAGGGTGTGTCTTGAGTCAACCTCTTTTGAGATATAGAAGAGATTAAACAAGCAAGTGAGAAAAGCAGAGATGGGGGAAAAGAGATGCCAAGCCACATGAAGATCACCCAGGAGCTGAAGCTCAAAGAGACAAGGACCTTCCTCAGAGCCAACACAGAGAGAGAAAGCCTTCCCCTAGAGCCAGCACCCTGAATTTGGATTGCTAGCCTCCTAAACTGGTTGTTCCCCACACATCTGTCAGTTTGTCATACTGTGGTGGCTTGCATGTTGCTCTGATGCTGGAAGCTATGCTACTGGTATTTCAAATACCAGCCTCCTGAACTGTGAGAATCTGAACTTCTGTTTGTTAAAGCCACCCACTTGTGGTATTTCTTTTACAGCAGCACTAGATAACTAAGACAGTATATGTAAGTCACTCCGCTTACATACACTGCACATAAAATGGAAATAAGCATATAAATCACTCCACTCATGTATACTCCACATAAAATGGAAATGTTATCCTTTCTCCCTCTCTATCCAAATCACCAAGTCTATCAATAACAGCAATGGCTAATATTTATTAAGAGCTTATTATATGCCCTAGAAAAACACATGCAATATTTCACTTAGTCCTCATAACAATCCAAGAGGTCAGTACTACTATCCTTATTTTATAGATAAAGAAACTGGGATCACAGAGCAGGGTCTCATTTTGAATCCTAGCCTTGCCACCTACTAGCTTGGTGACCCTGGACAAGTTTCTTTACCTCTCTGTGTCCCAGCTTCTGTAAAACAATGATGTTGTTGTTAGGTGCCATGGAGTCGGTTCCAACTCATGTGCAATGGAATGAAATGTTGCCCGGTCCTGTGCCATCCTCACGATTGTTGCTATGCTTGAGCCCATTGTTACAGCCACTGCGTCAGTCCATCTCCTTGAGGGTCTTCCTCTTTTTTGCTGACCCTCTACTTTACCAAGCATGATGTCCTTCTCCAGGGACTGATCACTCCTGATAACATGTCCAAAGTATGTGAGACAAGTCTTGCCATCCTCACTGCTAAGGAGCATTCTGGCTGTACTTCTTCCAAGACAGATTTGTTCGTTCTTCTGGCAGTCCACGGTGTCTTCAATATTCTTCACCAACACCGCAATTCAAATGTGTCAATTTTCCTTCGGTCTTCCTTTTTCACTGACCAGCTTCTGCACGCACACGAGGCGACTAAAGAGACCATGGCTTGGGTCAGGCGCACCTTAGTCGTCAAAATGATCTTCGCTTTTTAACATTTTTGAAAAGGTCTTTTGCCACAGATTTGCCTAGTGCAACATGTCATTTGATTTCTTGACTGCTGCTTCCATGGGAGCTGATGATGTCCACACCTTTTTCAAAGGCTGTTTCAAAGATTAAATGAGTCAGCATATAGAGCACTGGAGGAGCACTGGGCACTGAGCAAGCACTATACAGTGGGACTTGTGAGAGCCGGAACTCGACGGCAATGCCTTGGTTTTCCGCGTCTCCCAAGTTTTCTGCCTTCGACAGGGTGCAGTCCTACCACTTGTTTATTGCTCTCTATTAGTGGAAAATATTTGAGTTTTCTTTCTCTGACAGGTTTCTGCCTTACACAGGTTCTGGCTTTCACAGCTTTTACTGTGTAAGTACTCTGGAGTCCCTGAGTGGGGCAAACTGTTGAGTCCTTGGCTGCTAACTGGAACACTGGCAGTTTGAATCCACCCAGAGGTGACTGGGAAGAAAGGCCTGGTGATCTACTTTCAAAAGGTCACAGCCATTGAAAACCCTATGCACAGTTCTACTCTGAAACACATGGGGTCATCATGAGTCGGAATCTACTTCATGGCAACTAGTTTATATATATGTGTGTGCATACGTATATATATATATGTATATATATATATACGTATACACACACACACACAGATAGTATGTAAGTAGTAAGTATTACTGTTTTTCGACCCTGGACTGTGAGACTGAAGGCAACCCACTTGAACCCTAAGCTATACTGGCTCTCTCTGCTGCTTATCCTACCTAAATACAAGTAGTCCCCAACTTATGATGTATTTGAGTTACAACGAAATTTACATCATCTTTTACCCTTACGACTGTCCTTTTTTGGTACATATTATTGCAAATAGGCGCCCTGGCGGCACAGTGGTTAAGAGCTTGGCTGCTAACCAAAAGGTCAGCAGTTCGAATCCGCCAGCCGTTCCTTGGAAACTCTGTGGGGGCAGTTCTACTCTGTCCTATGGAGTTGCTGAGTCAGAATCGACTCGACAGCAACAGGTTGTGTGTCTCATTATTAATACGTACTACCTAAAATGTTGCAGCACATCATTTGCTGATGTTCTCATTCACAGATGTAATGTTTCCAACTCCCAAAGACAAATAAAGATCAGATTTATAAAGATACTGGTAACAAAAGGCAATAATAATGAAAACTAAAAAAAAAAAAAAAATGAAGTATTCGACTTACATCAGAACCAACTGATGACGGGAGCAGTTGTTGGAACGGAACCCTGTCATAAGTTGAGGACTACCTGTAGTTCAATTCATTCATTCAACAAATAATTTTCAACATTACTGTGTGCCAGGCAAGTTTTGGGCACCAGGAATATAGCAGAAAACAAAATATGTGCCCTAAATTGGGGGGCGGGGGTGGGGACAGACAATAAGCGGACAAGAAAAATCGCAGGTAGCGATAAGTACCTGCAGAAGATTCAGTTAAGGGTGATGAGAGTTTCTGGGTGGGACTTTACACTGGGGCCGATCTGCAAGGAATCATGGGGATGGCACAGGGCTGGGCAGTATTTCATTCCGTTGTGCTTAGGTTGCCATGAGTTGGCTAACACAACTTTTATGCTGGGGGAAGTCCTCTAGGGAGGAGATACAAACAGATCTGAATGACAAGGAGCCAGCCACACCGTATTTCTAGAATTTGTCCCTGTCACTTGGTCATGCCCTGTGAATCTCTCCAGCCTCTTCCCACAAGCGCCAGGCGTCCTATGTGTCAAAACCACTGGAAATGCTGAGGATCTTATTAAAGGGTCTTACGCCTTGGCTCATGCTGTTCTTTTTGCCCAGTCACCCACTTAGTGACCTATTTGCCCTCTCCCCTAGAGAACGAATTGCAACCCTCCTCAGGGGAGTCTCCACAGATCATCAGAACCCAGGGTGCAGAACTGGCCCCAGCCCCTTGCCCACACCAGAGAGCCCAGAGTTTCCTAATCACTGGGTTTCTGCAGTGCACCAGAAAAAGAATTGCAAAATAACTTGATTGCTCACAAGAATCCCCATGGGCCCTCGTTAAAGTACAAAACCCAGGGCCCTAACCTAGACCTCTTGAATTAGCATCCCAGGGGAGATTCTTTCTTTCTAATTTTGTTGTGGTAAAATATATACAACAAAAAGTTTGCCACTGAAACCATTTTTACGTGTACAATTCAGTGACATTAAGTACATTCACTGTGTTGTGAACCACCAGGACTATCCATTTTCCAGGGGAGATCCTTCAGATCAGTTCAGTTTGAGAATCAGCGTGAAAGCTGAAGATGGCTTGGTTAGGAACATTTAGGTACCAGAGGCCCAGGATAGATCCTACGCAGGTTCTAAACTGAAGCAAGTGCTGTGGTTTGTTAAATTTGGCACCAATTATAAATTAAGTTTCACCCACAAAGTAACCCACTCAAATAACTGGCAAAATCACAGTACAAAGACAATTTTCTGTGCCTCTGCCATAGAGGTAACCTTTCCTTTGGCTTTGACCTACTCCTGGGCCATCTGGTGCCACTGGCCTCCCATCCATAATATTTTAATGGAAGTTCGAGCCCACCCAGAGGTACCTGGGAAGAAAGGCCTGGCAATCTACTTTAGAAAAATCAGCCACTGAAAACCCTATGGAGCACAGTAGGGGTTGCCATAAGTCAACTCAAGGGCTACTGGTTTATGGGAGTCAGGGAGTCCTTGGATGGTGCAAACGGTTGCTAACTGAAAGGTTGGAGGTTTGAGACCAGAGGTGCCTTGGAATTAAGACCTAGCGATGTACTACTGAAAAATTAGCCAATGAAAACCCTATGGAGCACAGTCCTACTCTGACACACGTGGGGTCGCTATGGTACTGGTATTAGCCCCAAGTAACGAAGGAACTTGTGAGGTGGTCAAAGAATCAGTTCTGTGGTCAGCTGACCCAGGTTCCTCTGCCGACCCCAGCTGTAAAACCCTGAGACGGCCAGAAACTTATCTGAGTCTGATCCCCATGGTAAGGAGGGAAATACCTACCGCATGAGGCCGTCAGATTAAATGAGATGTCTGCGCATTTATCAGCAGAGTCTGAACACGGTAATCCTCTTTATTAACAGCTCTCAGGAGACAGCTTCAGGCTTATAGCCTGGGAGGGTATCACCTGTGCCCAGGGGGATGTTTCTGGTCCCTGGTCCGTGGACGGACAAGGCTAAGGTGGGGACCCGAAAGGGGTAGAGTGAACCCCGTGGTCCTTGAACTTCCGGCGGTCTCGGGCTCATCACCAGTTAAAAGGGGACGAAATCCTTCCCACGGCTGCTGGGAGGCTCAGCGTGGAATGCCGGCCAGAGTCGCGCGTGGGGCACCGCAGGAGCCCCAGAGGCCGCCGGAGTCGACAGCACTCATTCAGGAATTGCAGACAGACAGCCCCCTCCACCCACAGATCCGGGCCCACCGGGCGCCAAAACGTCCGTCCTACGGCGCAGGCGCCGCGAATGCAGGCAGCGCGGGGAGACCCGAGACCGCGCGCTCACGGCCCAATCAGCGCTGGCTTCGCACAAAGCGGATCCCGCCCCCAGATGCGAACACCAAGCCTCCTCCCCATCCCCCCGCCGCCTTGGCCCGCCCACTCTCGTCCAGCTCCGCCCCGCGCCGTTCTCGGGTAGGGGTTCGCTATTGGCTCGTCGGATGAACGCGCGCTCTGATTGGTCAAGGCGGGGTCACGAGGGTGCCGTCGTCGCCTTTCCAGAGGCGATTACTGGGTAGGCTCTGTCTTTCGCCTCAGTCTCGAGCCCTAGCTGGCAGCCTAGCGTGCGCGCTCTAGGCTCTTCAGAACCCGCGGCTGCCATCGACGTCGCTTGGGTTTTTCTAGGCTCATCTGCGCCACTCACCCTCTACACACTCCGTCGTCACAAGCCGCCATCATGGTGAAGCTCGCGAAGGTAAGCGGCCTTGCCCGCGCAAGGACGGGCGTCGGGGCCTGCTTCCCGAGGAGCGCGCGCGCGGCGCCGCGAGGAGGAGGGCCTGCGCGCCGTCCCGGGCGCGTTCGAGGTTCGCCATGCTGACGGAAGTCTCGCGCGAGTAGCGGGCGGGTCTCGCGGGTTTTGCCGATATGGAGAGAAGGTGAAGATCGTCTGCAGGTGCAAGGGGCTGTGGATTCGGCGGGGAGAGACTTCGGGGCTGCGCGCGGGGCTCCGGGGTGGAGGGGTGAGGCCGGACTCCCAAGACGCGCGCGCGCGCCGGCCCCGCCTCCTGACGCACGTGCCCCTGCGCGCGGCCCGCCACGTGGGCCGCGCCGCGTGGGTCCCTGCGTCTCCCGAGAGGAGCGTGCTCTGGCGGGGAGCGGTGGAGCCGGGGGCCGGTGGAGCCGGGGGCCGGGGGCAGCGGCGGGGTGGGGTTAAGCCAGAGGCCCGGCGGCCTACGGGCTCTCCGCCCCAGCGAGTGGGCACGTGGTGGGCCCCGGATGGAGGCGCCGCTTCCGAGTGATTTCTGCGCGCACATGGTGGCCTGTGAGGCACCCCCACGTGGCCCACTCGGGTCTGAAAGTTGAGTGGTTTCTCCAGGAAACGAAAACTGTTACTGAAAAGATCACAAGTATTTGTGTTAAAAGGTGACTTAAAGAATTCTGGTTTTTAATTTGAATTCAGATCAAGCCGATGGAGGCAAGTGCCAGAATTTATCAAAGGCTTTTGAGGGTAGTTTCCCCAGGGTAAAGGACTATGAATTGTTGGTTGGAAAATGGCCCTGGTGCAAGGTACTGTATTAAAAAATCCTCAGGGCGATATTTACTAGTTAATCAGGGGAGTAATATTTTTAAAATGGGCCGTGGTTCAGAAAGCCGACAGGAGGAGGGAGATCATGTCTATGTATGGTTATTCTAGGCCTGATTTTCTAGGTGTAAAAACTGACAGGAAAACCGTAAGCAGGTGGAGGACCCTATTTTAAACTGTGTTTTAAGACTAGTTTGCATGTTGTATTTAACGCCATGAAAACTGGATTTTAAGGAAGAAAAGAGGACTGCATTTTACTGTGTAGAATGATGGCACAACGTAAGTGGCATGAAATACGGGTGCAAGTGTAGTGTGCTAACGATTGTATCCATTTTAGGCTGGTAAAAATCAAGGTGACCCCAAGAAAATGGCTCCTCCCCCTAAGGAGGTAGAAGAAGATAGTGAGGATGAGGAGATGTCAGAAGAGGAAGAAGAAGAAGAAGAAAGCAGCGGAGAAGAGGTAATTATATGAGATTTAATGTAGAATTATGGTAAAATCCAAAATAAGGCAGCTGGTGTTGGCTGTCTGACAACACTACCAGAATTTAAGGTTTAGATTAATACGTGACCTCGTGTAGTAGTTCTCTCGCAAGCTCTTCTCTGACATTTCAAGATACCTTTTGGGTGAGTATTTGAGTATGAGTGTGAGACCTAACAATATCTGGGGTGCCTTACATAAACACCTTTTTGCGGCCCTTTGTTGGGGTAGGTGTGACGTTGTGTTAAATCAGTAAATTTTTCCAGTTTTCAGCATTTTGGCTCCGTACACTAGATAAGCACACAGCGTGGATAGTTGGCAGAACTGAGTATTATATCCAGGTCTGAGGACTCCATCTTTTAGCCTTATCACATCTCTTTCCTAACTCTTGAATGCAACATCAATTGATTTGTTGTATTGTGTAGAAGCTTTATAACAATCACATTGTGTTATGATTATCTCTGGTGTGTATTAAGGGTCGCCACTTTCCTTTGTTGATGCTGACCCTTTTTAGCACTCCTGCCCACTATTTGTTCACTGCACAACTAACCAGTGTGATTGTGCTCAGATTTTTTTTAAGATTTATAGAAGGTTTTAGTCTTCCCACATAGTACCTGATAAAACTAATAATCAAAAAATAGCTTGCTCCTCTCCGCTTTTTAACGTATGTAACAACATTTACTGTTTCAGCATTTTTAACGTGTAGTTTCATGACAACATACACGCTCTTTGGTTTGTTAACTTTGCCAAAGTTGACTGTCCAGCCTGTTTACTGTTCAGCTTTTAATTTCTGGTGCGAAGAATTGAGCTTTCCCTGAGCTCTGTACCCACATCATCTGTTGTAGGAGCCGCAGAGGATGTAGTAGCAGTTACATGTACAGCTTTTTGTGTGCAAGGCTGTGAGTACTTTACATATCAATTCTTTTCATTTTTAAAGCAACTTGTAAGTTTGATGTTGTAGTTTTTAGATGAGGAAGTTGAGGCTTAACGTTTTTAAAACTTGCCCAAGGCAACACAGTCACTGATGGATGGGACCTGCTCCAACTCTGATTTCAGAGCTGATAGTCTGTTAGGCTGTACTGCTTCAAAGCTGGAGCCATTACTCTGGATAAGGACGGATGGAATCATTTAAAAGTATGAGGTGTAGAGATGTGGTTTCTTGTATTTTAAAGGGTGAGAAGGGGTATTTTACCTGAGTATTTTAATGAGTGCCTTAATTCATGTTATCTTAAACCAGTGGCAGTGCCAGAGGATTTTTAAAAATTTTCTTTTTCAGGTCATCATTCCTCAGAAGAAAGGCAAGAAGAATACTACAGTGCCATCAAAGAAGGTGGTGGTTTCCCCAACAAAAAAGGTTGTAGTTGCTGCGCCGGCCAAGAAAGTGTCTGTCACACCTGGCAAAAAGGCAGCAGCGACACCGGCCAAGAAGGCGGTCACACCAGCCAAAGCGGTGGCGACACCTGGTAAGAAGGGAGCCGCCCCAGGCAAAGCAGTGGTGGCCACCCCCGGTAAGAAGGGAGCCGCCACTCCAGCCAAGGGGGCAAAGAATGGCAAGAACGCCAAGAAGGATGAGAGCGATGAGGAAGATGATGAAGACAGTGAAGATGATGAGGATGAGGAGGAATTTGAGCCAGCTATGATGAAATCAGCTGCCCCTGCCTCAGAAGATGAGGATGATGAAGATGAGGAGGAGGAGGAGGACGATGAAGAGGAGGAGGAGGAGGAGGATGAAGACGGTAAGGGGTTCTCTTGGTAGTTCCTGAGCTACTTCTTGCAAGACATTTGGAGATCAGGGTCTGGGTACAACTCTGCATACTCCTGCTGTGACAGCCCAGAGGTTAGCTGATTTCTTGCAGGGGTTCTCTGGGCTGCTTGTGGGGCACTGGACTTATCACCCACAGCTGACTGTCCTGTGCCGAACAGCACATTGTGGGAGAATTGTTCGTAACATAGGATTTGCTTCTAAGTGACCTGTTAATTTTTTTTTTTTTTGTACTTTAGATAAAGATTTACAGAGCAAACTAGTTTCTCATCAAACAATACACATACTGTTTTGTGACGTTGGTTGCCAACCCCACAACTTATTAACACTCTCCTCAGCCTTGGGTTCCCCATTACCAGCTTTCCTGTCTCCTCCTGCCTTCTCATCCTTGCCCCTGGGCTGGCGTGCCCACTTAGTCTCTTTGGCCGAAGGGTGAATCTCAGGAGGGACTTCATTACTGAGCTGTAAGGGTGTCGGGGCCGTACTCTTGAGGTTTTTCCAGTCTCTGTCAGGCTAGTAAGTCTGGGTTTTTTGTTTGTTTCATTTGTGAGTTAGAATTTTGTTCTACATTTTTTTCCAGCTCTGTTTGGGAGCGTCTATTGTGATCCTTGTCAGAGCAGTTGGTGGTGGTAGCTGAGCACCGTCTAGTTGCGTGACCTGTTAATACTTGCCGCAGCTGATGGCACTGACAGGATTGTTTCCTTTCTATTTTGCTGGAGTTACAGCTGGTTCTGAGAGTATCTGAGTCTGACTGAACGCCTTTTCTCTCTTAGACTCTGAAGAAGAGCCTATGGAGACCACACCAGCAAAAGGAAAGAAGGCTCCTCCAAAAGCTGCTGGGAAGGCCAAGAGTGTGGCTGAGGAGGAGGACGACGACGATGAGGACGAGGAGGATGATGAGGAGGAAGATGAGGAAGACGAGGAGGAAGATGAGGAAGACGAGGAGGAGGATGACGAGGAGGAGGAGGATGACGAGGAGGAAGGTAATCAAAGTAGCGTCTGAAGGACTCTGACCTGAGTTTGTTAAAAAGAGGCCGTGAATATGTGTGACTATCCATTGTTAACACGTATTATTTCGAATCGCACCCAGAACCTGTCAAAGAAGTACCCGGCAAACGAAAGAAGGAAATGTCCAAACAGAAAGCTGCCCCTGAAGCCAAGAAACAGAAAGTGGAAGGTAACTTGCAGAATTGGGAGGAAGCGTCCGGGAGGGGCACAGGGTTTGACAGCACAGATGATGAACAACAAAGGGACTTAATGCTGAAATCTGATGTTACATTGTGACATGCTGATGGGTGCTGGGTCTAGGAGTGTTGGAAGGAATTAAGTTTGCGTCACTATTACTAGATTGATTTGAGTTCCTTTTGTGTGCAGCCGTGGAACCAACTTCAGCTTTCAATCTCTTTGTTGGAAACCTCAACTGCAGCAAATCTGCTCCTGAATTAAAAACTGGTATCAGTGACCTTTTTGCTAAAAATGATCTTGCTGTCGTGGATGTCAGAATTGGTATGTCTAGGTAAGTAACTTGTCCTTGTTTTGGAATCCCAAACTTGAAATTCCCGTAATCTACCTTAACTTATGGTGTAGCACAAAATAATTCATTGACAGTTCAGAGAATTTGATGCTTATGATCTTGGAAATAATCTAAAACCATTAAAACCTAGTAGCCTACTAATGAGGGCTTTTTAGCCAGGTAGGATTCTGTCCAGGTTCCTTTGTCACAATCTAAAGACTGATCGCTGTCAGTTTTTATTTGTTATGAGCAGTGTAGCTAGTCAGCCTATGTCAGGTCTTGGTACAGTTTGCAGAGCTTTGACTGTTGTTAGCACTGTAGGTTTTTGTTACTTAGTCCTTGTTTACACAGTCACGTTAGTGCTGCAGTTCTCAAGAATGTGTGTGTGTGGCTCTTGGTTTTTTTCTTCTGTAACTTTTTACCGCTCTTCACCTTAAAGGAAGTTTGGCTATGTGGATTTTGAATCTGCTGAAGACCTGGAAAAAGCCTTGGAACTTACTGGCTTGAAAGTCTTTGGCAATGAAATTAAACTAGAGAGACCAAAGGGAAAAGACAGTAAGAAAGGTATGTAGGAAATTAAGAAAGGTTTTTGATCACTGTGATAACTAAGGGGTAACTTGTTAATAGATGTATACCTAGAGGGTCCACCACCTGACTGTCAGTACTATGGTGGCTTGCATATTGCTATGATACTGGAAGCTTTGCCACCAATATCTCAGATATCAGCAGGGAGGGTCACCATGGTAGACAGGCTTCAGTGGAGCTTCCAGAAGGACTGGGAAGAAAGGCCTGGCGATATACTTCCAAAAATTACCCAGTGCAAACCCTGTGGGTTAGAACAGTGCCAGAGGGTGAGCCCCCCCGGGCTAGACGGCACTACACAATGGCTGCAACAGTGGACTCCAGCGGTCAATGATCGTGAAGATGGTGCAGAACCCAGCAGTGTTTACTTGTGTTGTACATGGTGTTTCATGAGTCAGAGCCACCTCTACGTAACTACTAACATTTAGAGAGTAGTCTAATGTGGTTAAGAACTTGGCCTCCAGCCGTAGACAGGGCAAATGGTTTAACTTTTTTCAGTTAGTTTCCTCATAGTGTTACGAGGATAAAATGAGTTAGAATATTTAAGTGTTTATAACCGTGCTTGCCACTATTTGCTGCTGCTATAATATAAATTCCTGAACCAGGCAGGCAAGAAAAAGAATTGCTTAGAGGCACCTAAACTAGTTGTAAATTAAGTAACTGTTCATGGACTATACTTGCTTCATCGTTCCCAGCCACACTGGACTTGTAGACATTGCCACTTGTAATGTTCTTGAATGAATGATCTTTTTGTTCTCTGGTCCTTAATTGGTCAGCTTCTCAGTTACTCTTTAAAACGTTCCTTACTTTTTCTGTATACGTGTCACGTTTTAAATTGTGTTCTTTTTTTTTTTTTAATCCAGATCGAGATGCCAGAACACTTCTGGCCAAAAATTTGCCTTACAAAGTCACTCAGGATGAATTAAAAGAAGTGTTTGAAGACGCTATGGAGATCAGATTAGTCAGCAAAGATGGGAAGAGTAAAGGGTATGTTCTGTGTTTACTGGAATATTGAGTTTCAGTAAACTTACGGTACTCCCTTGATTATACAAAAAATGTCAATTATCTGGGTGTGTGATCTTGGACAATTTAATGTATAATTTATATTTCAATTTCTTATCTGTAAAGTAGGGGTGATGTTTTTAATTTATAGGGGAATGTTAGAAGATGAATTTTTGTGTATAAAGCACTAAGGACTGTGCCTGACTTAAAATGATTTGTAAGTATTGAGTTCAAGGTCATGTAAACCTTGTATGCTTTAGTCAGTATAAAACAAAGGATGTTTTTATTCTCACATGTGAAACAAGGTCTGTGTTACTGAGGTTAAAACATTTCTGTTAAACGAATTTTTTATCTTTTTTTGAAGATGAGTAGTTAAATGTTTTTTCTTGTTATCCCTATTGCAGGATTGCTTATATCGAATTTAAGACAGAAGCTGATGCCGAGAAAACCTTTGAAGAGAAACAGGGAACAGAGATCGAGGGGAGGTCGATATCCCTCTACTACACTGGGGAGAAAGGTCAAAATCAGGACTACAGAGGTGGAAAGACAAGCACTTGGAGTGGTAAGACTTCCTCAGCATGCTTCCGGGTTCCAGAATCGACGGAGGGAAATCCTTCGGGTTTTTGTACCTTTTAAGTTGATTAATTACAGTCAGTTGGAGATTAAGATCAAAGAAGGGTAATAGCCAGATTTTATAGTAATTCAGTTTCTTAAATAAGGTCTATATGAAATCATTTTGCGTTGAAGCGCAGTAGATGGAGCTTCCTTTGTAGATTTGTTTTACGTTTATAACATAGACCTGTAGATTTTAACATTAAAATCCTTTAGGAAGGTACATTAATACAGTAGTAGGGCACACATAAACAGAAGGGAGTGAAGTAGAACATTACAGTACACAATGGGTGCGTTTCACTTGTGTATGTTAGTTGGCATGTTAGTTGTCCCAATGCACAGATGTTCTTAAGAACAAGATACTAGCCATGACTAAAACTGGGAACCACCTGTTTCTGCGCATAAGAATGTGGCATTTCTGTTTGTAGGTGAATCCAAAACTCTGGTTTTAAGCAACCTGTCCTACAATGCAACAGAAGAAACTCTTCAGGAAGTATTTGAGAAGGCAACAGCTATCAAAGTGCCCCAGAACCAAAATGGCAAATCTAAAGGGTAAAATCATTAGTATCTTCTTGTCAGTTACAGGCTGTTGGATCTTTAAAAAATGATAAAATCATGTTTGTTTGTTTTTGCCAGCAGAAGCTGAATTTTATAAGCTGTAATTTGTAAATTAAAGGATTTCATTTAAGTTGCTTGATGAAGGCTTGGCATATAAATGGGGAGTCTCTGCTTTGTAACTACTCTAAATACTGACTGTTTATTTTTAGGTATGCATTTATAGAATTTGCTTCATTTGAAGATGCTAAAGAAGCTTTAAATTCTTGTAATAAAAGAGAAATTGAGGGCAGAGCAATCAGGTTGGAGTTGCAAGGATCCAGGGGATCACCTAACGCAAGAAGCCGTAAGTTACCTTACACAACACCCCGGTCAGAGACAGCACTGTTCTCAGTACTGTGCTTTAAATTCCTCCTCAGGCCAGTATTTACTTGCCCTCACATCTAGAGGTTTTTTGATTGCTACTGAGTGAACAAACTGGACATGATGACTGATTTATCTGAGAAATAATTGATGAAATCTCAAGAAAATTCCTCTAGATAGTCAAGTTCTGATCCAGATTTGCCGACTCAGCCACTTGCTTACCTGTGGTTCTCTGTCCTGGATGGTGGTTGTAGTTGGCGTGTGTTAAGAGTCCCTTCTAACTTGTTTACACTGCTTGCTCAGCTTCCCATAAAAGATCTGAGATGAGATCTCACCAACTGCTGAGAATCAAATGCTAGGTGCCTGTTGATCAAGCCCTTTCCCTTAATTGAACATTAGTTAACTAAGTTGCTATTGACTGTTTCTTGTTATGCACATTTTATTGTGGTAAAAATACCTCTAACACAGCATTTGTCAGTTTGACACTTTGCAGGTTAAATTTAGTAATTTCAATTACATTTATCATGTTGTGCTACCACTATCCATAATCCAGATTTCCCATCACCATAAACAAACACTACTTCCTAAACAATGGCTCCCCCTCCTTCCGCTCCTAGTCATGCATATACTTTGATTCAAAGGGATTCTTGTCACGTGGGCATTGTCTGGTCAGTACAAATCGTGACTGACATGTTTCTGTCTTTTTCTTGCCCAGAGCCATCCAAAACCCTGTTTGTCAAAGGTCTGTCTGAGGACACCACCGAGGAGACATTGAAGGAGTCATTTGATGGGTCTGTCCGTGCCAGGATAGTCACCGACCGGGAAACAGGCTCGTCCAAAGGGTAAGGTAATCGAGTAGGTGATGCAGTGATGCTCCCAGTGTCGGAGCAGCCTTCGTTCTTAGAGACCTTGGGTCTGACAGATCTTCTCAATGAGCTCCTTTCTGTCGATCGGTGGCAGTCTGGATTCGCACGAGAAGAAGAGCCAGTTCACAGAGCTCGCATTCTTAGCTTACCTTCTGTCTTCACAGAAGTAGGCTTCTGTTCTGTGAGACATTTCTGGGCTTGAAGCCGTCAGTAAAACCAGTTACGGTTTTTTCTGATCACTGGTCTGTTATCGCTTTGGGTCTTTTCTCAGCTAAACAAAGTTAGGTCCTGTGAAGTCACTGTCAAACAGATGAGGTTAACTTTGGCACCATTCAGCGTGTTGGCTTTATAATCAGTGATTGAATTTGGTGTTTCAGGTTCGGTTTTGTAGACTTCAACAGTGAGGAAGATGCGAAAGCTGCCAAGGAGGCCATGGAAGATGGTGAAATTGATGGAAACAAGGTTACCTTGGACTGGGCCAAGCCGAAGGGCGAAGGCGGCTTCGGGGGTCGAGGCGGAGGCAGGGGAGGATTTGGAGGCCGAGGTGGACACGGCAGAGGAGGCCGAGGTGGTTTCGGTGGCAGAGGCCGAGGAGGCTTTGGAGGTAAGGAGGATGGATTGCGGGGAGGGGCGCCGGAGGCACCATGTCTACACTGGCACCAGCTCCATGTGTCCTCAGAACCTGTGCCAGGGTCTCCTGCATCAGTCTCTGTTGTTAGGAGCTGTTGAGTCTATTCCAACTCATAGCGACCCTGTGCACCACAGAACGAAACACTGCCCGGTCCTGCACCATGCTCACAATCATTGTTACTCTTGAGCCCATTTTTGCAGCCACTGTCAGTCCATCTCATGGAAGGTCTGACAGTCAGTCCCCAAGTTGCCGTTAATCCCTGTGGGGAGGAGGGCTAATAAACAGCTTTGTGCCCGGTCTTTATGAAGTCTTACCTTTTGCAGGGCGAGGAGGCTTCCGAGGAGGCAGAGGAGGAGGAGGAGACCACAAACCACAAGGAAAGAAGACGAAGTTTGAATAGTTCTTCTGTCCCTCTGTTTTTCCCTCTTCCGTTTGAAAGAAAGGACTCTGGGGTTTTTACTCTGTTACCTGATCATGACAGAGCCTTCTGAGGACATTCCACAACAGTAGACAGCCCTGTGGCCTACTGGGAAATCCGTACAGATAACATTTCAAGGGAGGTTCCCTGTTGGTTTTGACTGGATATTCATATAAACTTTTTAAAAGAGATGAGTGATAGAGCTAACCCTTATCTGTAAGTTTTGAATTTATATTAAGTTTCATCCCATGTACAAAACCGTTTTTTTTCCTACAAATAGTTTTTTGCGTTGGGGGGTATAAAGGAAAGCAGAATGTTTTATCATGATTTTTGCTTCAGCAACTTTGGGACAGATTAAAAAGTCCTAAACTCTGGTGCCAGACTTGTGTTTTCTACAGTGTTTCTCCTGGAATATCACTGGAGGCGGGGGACGTGGCTAAGACCCTGCGCTGCAGCTCTACCCTCCCCTGTGCTTGGTGTCTTGGGTTCAAGTATCCTGGCCGCTTTGGTGAGATGCTGGCAGAGTGACCAGCTTCCACAGGCTTTGTGAGTGCTCAGACACGAGAGACCTGAAGTGCCCATGGCTTCTCTACTTGTAGCAGGCCTGAGGTTCAGGTGTCCCCAACAAGTGCTTGGCCCTTAGTGGGAAAAGCACAGTGGTTTCCTTAAAGGATCCAGGCTCAAGAATGGCAGTGACTGGCTAATGGAACTGGTTCCTGCTCTAATAACGAACAGTGGAGGATTCGGGTCTGGAAAATGAGGCTCTCTGCTAGGGAAGGAGCAGCATTATAGTGATCCTGTGGTGCGCCTGGTATTTTTGGTAAGGCCTCCAGCAATGTGAGGTCAAATTTCACAAAGACTTGAACCTAGGTATAGTGATCAGAGGCATTCTGCCCTGTTCTATTGGGCATTTCCTCCCTGGTCCCCCCAACTCTAAGAGCCATGACTAGAGTTCTGGGTCAAGTGATTGTAAATATGGTGAATTAACAGGAAGACGGTGGGAGCCCACAGAGGGGTCAAGTGTGCTGTCTTTAATTACATTGGGGCTAAGTAGAGGCACAGTGGAGCCTCTCAGTGGTGGCCAGTCTGTCTCAAACTAGACTAGGGTCTGTAAGTTTGGTCTTAGGGTTCCTTTGGGTCTTCTGGAACCTGGTGACTCCAGCACTTTAAGCATCACGTTGACACCCACTGCAGATGGCAACTTTCTTCAGCCTTCGGCAGGCCCATGGGCTTGTCACCCTAAAACATGGAATAAGCCGTTAGGTAATACAGAACATAAATCAGAATTGCTACTAATCCAGGGGCCTAGCACAGCTTCTAAAGTTTGGTTTTTGAGGCTGTGAGTGGGAGAGTCCCTGTGTGATGCAAATGGTTAACAGGCTTCGCTGCTGCGTGAAAGGGTTTTGAGTCCCATTTGGAGGGGCTTCAGAAGAAAGACCTGACAGTCTTTAGCCATTGACACCTCAGTGGAGCAGTTCTACTCTTGATGCACATGGAGTCACCATGAGTAGTTTATGGGTATTAGAGTCCTTGAGTGGTGCAAATGGCTGCTAACCACCCAGAGGCACCTTGGAAGAAAAGCCTAGCCATCCACTTCTGAAAAATCAACCATTGAAAACCCTCGGGAGCAGAGTTCTACTCTGACATGGGTTCACCATGAGCCATAATTTCAATGACATAGATGAGAGCGGGGAGTGTTGGGAACCTTGCTAGGGGAGCTGGGCCTGCTCCTGCCAGCAGCCATACTGCAGGAGGAGTTCATGGCTCCTAGAATAGGAGTTCCTGGGTGGTGCAAATGGTCCAGAGGCACCTTGGAAAACCAAAACCAAACCCATTGCCATTGAGTCTCTGATTCATAGTGGCCCTACAGAACAGAGTAGAACTACCCCATAGGGTTTCCAAGGTAGCAGCCGGTGGGTTCGAACTGCCAACATTTTGGACCTTTTGGTTAGCGGCCGTAGTTTTTAACTGCCATGCCACCAGAGTTTCCCCTTGGGAGACAGGCCTGGTGATAACGCTTCTGAAAGGTCACAGCCTTGAAGACCGTATGGAGTGCAGTTCTACTCTGCACACGTGTGGTTGTCATGAGTCAGAGTCAACTCTGCAACCAACAACGGATAGGGCTTAAGTTTTAAGGGACGCAAGTGTGAACCCACCCTGCCATTGATGTTGCTCTTACATACTCAGTAAGAGCTATTTCTGCCTGCTCACAGCATGCCAGGCATGGACCTCAGCCCCTCCATAAACCGTGTGCAGCAAGGACAGAAAATGAAGCTGCTGCTCCTACTTTTGTGTTTCTCGACAGAAGGAAACAGTCCAGCGCTGTTAACTGTTACTATAGGGGCATGTGAATAAGGAAAATCAAAGAATTGATGCCTTTGAATTATGGTGTTGGCGAAGAATATTGAATATCCCATGGACTGCCAGAAGAACGAACAAATCTGTCTTGGAAGAAGTACAGCCAGAATGCTCCTTAGAAGCAAGGATGGCAAGACTTCATGTCACGTACTTTGATGTGTTATCAGGAGGGACAAGTTCCTGGAGAAAGACATCATGCTTGATAGAGGGTCAGTGAAAAAGAGGAAGACCCTCAACGAGATGGATTGACACGGGTTGCAACGATGGGCTCAAGCATAACAATGATTATGAGGATGGTGCAGGAGCAAGCAGTGGGGCGCTATGAGTTGGAACCAACTGGACAGCACCTATCAATATGGGAGCATATTAATTAACTGTGATGAGGATGGAGGGAAGTTACCCTGCAGAGCTAGAAAGGGCTGCTAGGGTTTGCATTTATGGCCTGGAATCTCAGAAGTATCTTAATCCTTGCTAGCTGCCTTAGAGTTGGTCTCTGACTCCTGTGATCTATAAGGTTTTTGACTTTTCAGAAGTAGCTTGCCAGGCCTTTCTTCTTAGTCAGAAACCTGTTCATCATAGCAACACACAAGCCTCCGCTGATAGGTGGTGGCTGCTCATGAGGTGCATAGGCTGAGAATAGACCTGGCTTTCCCGCATAGAATGTGAGAGTTCTACCACTGAAAGACCACTGCCCCTGTCTTCATCCTGGGCCTACCTATTACCCAACTCTGATTTACATTCTGGTGGGTTTTGCAGCCATTTTAGAAAAGCTGTTCCCTTCAGCAAATGGTTGTTGCCACGTTTGCCATCTGTCCAGCAGGTGGCAGCATGAGGCTGTTAAATGATGTGGGAACCACTGACAGGGAGTTCTCAAGAGGAAAGCTTGAAAAGATTGGCGTTTCAAGCCAGTGGGGCTCTAGCTCCAGGCCACCCTCAGATTATGGGATAGGGCTGGGGAGTCCACAGGGAATCATTACCACACTTTTCTGAGAGATGGTACACAAACCCCCAGAGAGACCCTGTAGCTAAGATGTCTTGAATGCCTGCCTTGTGCCCTTTCTCTGACTTATCTCATTTATCCATTCTTTGTCCACTAGCTGTCCCATGTATCTTAGCCTAAAAGGGTGCCAAAGCTTTCCTCATCCCGAAAGAGATTATCCCCTGACCCAGGCTCTCTGCCCAGCTGTCTTCCCTCTTCCTTTCACTGCCAAATATTCAGAAAGACCACCCTCTCTCGCCTCCCACTCCTTTGCTTTCAGCAGTGGAGTTTCTGTCTCCCTCCCCCAGCCGCGCTCACTAAGGGGGCCCATGACTAAGGGCTGCCAGGTCCAGCCAGTCTGCACTCATTTTACCTGGTTCTCTGCAGCATCCATCTGACAGATGGTCCCACCTGCCTGGAACTCACTTCCCTTCCTCTCCCCCTTCAAGAGCGCAGGCAGACACACTACAGTGGGGCTCCCTGACGCTAGACTGAGGTGGAGAGGGAAGGAAGGGATCAAGTCCTCAAGACCTTTCAACAAATTAACATCAATAGATGTGAGCCAAGGGCTGTCCTGCACCAGTCAGGTAACCCACTTATTGTGGAGAAGAGGCCCAGAGGGTTCCTTCATTGCCGATCCGTCTGCATGGAAACATGAGAATAACACGCGTTCTCCAACTTCTGACTGGCGCAACTTGTTGGTTTTGTTCACGCTTCTGTCCCATGAGCCTAGAACAGTGCCTGACACTTAGGTAATAAATAGTGATGAATGAATAAGTCCTGGGGAAAACCCTCCCAACTTTAGTGAACTCTGCGGTAGCAGTAGGAGGGGAATTTTAAAACCAGAAGTTCTTAACATACGTATTTTTAAGTTCTTAACAGTTTTGTGTCAAGAGTTCCTTTAGAAGTCTAGTGAAGTCATTGAACACTTCTCAAAATGTTTTTAAATGCAGTAAATAAAAAGCGATCATAAAGGATTACAAGGGAAACCACAGCTTTTGTGGTAGGACTGTATATGTGTTTATTAATGCATTAGACAACATGATTTATTGTTTAAAATACAGTTAACAATTCCGAAGCCAACCCTTCAAAGATTAGACTGGACTATGGGACATAAAATGACACTCACGAAGAGTGTGATTCTCAGTTCAAGTAGATACAGGAGACTAAATGGGCAGCTCCTGTCTGGAGGTGAGATGAGAAGTCAGAGAGGGATGGGAGCTGGTTGAAGGGACATGAGAAATCTGAGGTGGAAAGGAGGAATGTGCGGTCACATTATAGGTAAGGTGGTCGCTAAGCCGCATTCCTGCCCCCACAATAGGGGCAGGATATATTGGGGCTTCAGATCAGAGCTGTTTGACTAGGATTGACTATTTCTTTACTGCAGGCTATACCGGGGCTTTCCGGGGCTTCAGAACAGGACTGTTCGACTAGGTTTGACTATTTCTTTACACTGTTTTAACTTCAGGAAATTCCGCAGATAAGGGTCACAAACAAGTCCCAGGAGAACTGGCGCCAGCCAAGAAACCTAAAGACTGACGTCAAGGAACGAAAAGTCACTGGACTTACATCATCGGGCGATAGCAGAGCCCGTTTCAGAAGCTAAGGGTCTGTCAGTCACTTCCTGCTGATTCCTAGCCCTGCCCCACAATGAATAATCAGCAAGGAATCATGAATATGTATAACCTCCTGATTCTGCTAACTGTAACAGTCCCATAAAAGCTGACTCCCACCCGGTTTCGGACAGCCGTGTTGGCAACACAGGTCCCGGTGAGCTCCTTTACTTGGCCAACTAAATAAACATTTTCACCTTGCCTTAACAGCTGTGTCTGCTTCTCCGTTTAGACAGGCTGTGCCAAGTGGGACCTGGACCTGATCCAGTCCTATTCCAGCTCAGGTGGTTACAGAGGGTTAGCAACTAGGGTCACATAACAACGTGT